ANGCAGGTGGTTCAGGGTTCTGGCAATTTGAGTGAAATATCTATAGTCTGGCTAATATAATTTAGCAGAGAAATTGGAAAACGATGGTAAATATCTGTTTAAAAAAATACAAATATTTCAAAGTTCCTGATTGGCATCGGCCGATGGGGCAGCAAGGTTCTGGAGTGGATGCCCAGTACCGGAAAACGCAGCATGAGACGTCCACCCACAAGGTGGACCGACGACCTGATAAAGGTAGCAGGAAGGCGCTGGATGCAGGCCGCTACCAACCGTGCGATGTGAAAGTCATTGGGGGAGGCCTATGTTCAGCAGTGGACGTGCTGTGGCTGAAATGATGATGATGATTGGCATCATATTCACAGAGGTGGAAAATATAAAGTTATCATAAAGTACGTAATCAATAGACCTGAAAGGGATAGTCGATCTGAAAATCGAGAAGTGGCGCTATCCCATATTAATAAGTTTGCAAGGTCAAATAATCAGTAACTTTTACTACAACATCGAGTCATGAAAAGCTTATAAAGTTGGGCGCCAATTTTGTTATAATCGTAGTTTGAAGTAGCAGAATCAAGTAAAAATTTAATGTTTGATAAAAAAATACCAAATACGAGTAGACAGTCAATCAAATCACTCGCAAAAATAAACTAATAACATTGATAAAAGGACTTAAAATATTGGAAACCTGTGTTTCTGTCTTAATGGATTACATATTGATTTATTACATACTAAATCCTCATAATCTACAGATAGTGGATATTATATCACTGTAATTAATTACAATGCTCATTGATCACTTTGTAATTTGTAACCTATTTACCTCAATATTTTGTTTGTTAAGTTTTTATGAATAGTATGAATTAATAACACTCTACTAACTGTGACACTGTTTTAGGAAAGTCTGAAAATTCGGTGAATCTCCTTACTCTACATTTGGGGTGATGTTTGTAAGTAGAGTCGAAAGCATCTGACATACATTTTGATTGCAAAGTAACACCTGTTTAGACTGGGTGGGGCACATAGATCGTAGAGCTATCAGCTCTTGGCTGTTGGGACAGAAAAGTTTTCGAGTGGCGACTACGAGCCGGAAGACGTAGTGTGGGCAGGATCCTACTAGATGAACTGATAAACTGGTGATGGTCGCGAGAAGCACCTGGATGCGGATATAGCAGGACCGGTGTTTATGGAAATCTTTGGGGGAGGCCTTTGTCCAGCAGTGGACGTCATTTGGCTGAAATGAACGTCAAAAAATCGTAGAAAGTAGTTGAATAAAGCACCATTAATCAATGTAGTGATGGCCCTACTTATTCTACATTTGGGATTATAGATCGTCTTATCCACAGACGCGCACCACCAATTTTTGGTCGAGGGAAGAACGGTGTGCGGGGAGTTTGATCCGAGCAATCCGAGCGTCATTATTGTAATGTGCGTGTGCACTCATGGATGATTTAGCTTGTACCGATAACACTCAAACGTTAGCGCAAGAATGGCGGGGCGCGTCTTCGTGGATGAAACGATATGGTCGATAGATTTTTGTTTCAAATTAGCACTTATTGCAAGCAAATAAGTGGCCACAGTGTACCTATAGCTTGAAGTGTTTTCTATGAGCAAATAAATTGAATTCCAATGATGAATAACACCAGCACTTGATTTTTCCTGTCTTACAATCGTGTTATCGCCTCACTCATTGTTTGTACGTGACAGCTTGGAGTTAAGATTAGACAAATTCTTGTTCTCGTCTCACTTGAGTTAGATAAAAGGCTAGAATAAATCCATTTTGTCTTAGAACTGTGGCGCAATCACAAATAATATTAACAAGTCAGTAGAGTCAATTTTTTGACTGAAATATATTATGTTATTTTGATGTGCGTAAAGACACTATAGAGACGCTACAATGTTTGTATGTTTGTTTAAATGCATTTTCTTTATTATTTTTCAATTTTTACCTGAGAGAGATACGTATACCGGTACCTACTAGTCAGTGTTCACTTTTGCCCTATGCTTGGAGAAGATATCGGTATCAACAGAAAACAGAAAAGAATTAGCGAAATCAACTGCACGCATGAATGCTACTGACAACGCCACTCTTGTAGCGGAGTTTTGGGCTGATACTGTTAGATTTGTTGTCGACACTACAAGAAGAAGAAGAAGCGGAATTATTAGCGCAGGTGGAATATAAGTAGACCATATAGGAACGGCATTATCTTCAGCTATTGATAATAAATTAAACTGAGTTTTTAGGTAGACTTCAGCATCACAAGTCCCGGGCACGAATTAATGTTAGTACAGTCGCGAATTAAACCCCAATTTTCAGTTTATCTGGGCGACTGACTGAAAGTACTTTATCGTCCAAAGTTGCTATTTTAATGCATGAGTCCGTAAGAAAGAGCGTTTCAGTCATATCTCGGCACGAGGTCAGTCCGGCTATTTATCAAGCAATCAACAAATTATCGCGACAGGCACAGATTTTGGTTATTTCATTTATTATCGTTATCAAATGATAACGATTTGCTGCACATAGATCTGAGTTAGTTATACATAGAATAGGCTAAATAAATACTAAGATGTATGCCCTAAGGCCTAAGGCTTACTTCAAAGTACCTACTTCAATGGGACTATTCCCAGCTCTCGTTCCCACCGCTGCAACTCCTGTGTAGCCAGGATCACACACACACACAGATACAGTTTGACAGTTATAAAGTACTACAGTCAAATTAAGGGCCAAGAAACTGGGTCAAATTATTTTAAAACGTCATAAAAAGTTAACTATAACCATTAGATAGCGAAATTGTTATTGTAAAATTTTACATTAATTATAACTTTTAAAAATAGGTAGGTACTATGCTTCAACCGGCCGTCAGAGTATTAAACCATAAAAAATATTTATTTTCTAGAATTCCCACAAAGAAAGTAGTTGTATTTTAGCATAAAATTACACCTTTTGTACAGGGCTAGAATGAATGAAAATGAAAAATCATTATTCGATTTCGACCAATATTTGGCATTAATTTTAAACCATCTTGTTTATTAGATGCCAGTATACAAGTGATAATAAAATAAAGAATATTACATTGAATAAAACATGACTGCGTGATAAAATAATCGTAATCTTAACCGAGATAAATCCATGGTTCATATGGAAGTCTCAAGGTTAACGTACATGCATGAGATAGATTCACGATAGTTATTTATTATTTTACCGTTCGTATTGTCTAATGGTTAGGTAATTGGTACTTTACCTTAGAAAGATGGGACATTCAAATTGGAGGAAAAATAACTTACTTCACAAACTATTACTATGAGGTCTCACAGTGCGCGTGGACGCACAGGGTCACACACGAACCAATCACTTTATTCAACGCTGTGCGTTCGATTTGCTGCTTCACTTAAGCAAGCATCGTTTGTGAATACGAGTGTTAGCATGATTGGTTAGTAAACACTCTAACTTTAGATACTGGCACCTTAGGAAAATAGGACGACAAAATGGAAAAAAAATATTCGCAGTGTCCCGGAAAAAACCGAATCGTTTGAATTTGGAATTCAGAATCAGAATCATGCATTACTGCAAAACTGGATTCCTTATTCTCAAGATTAAAAACTGAAAAAAAAAAATAGTTTTCCATTTATAGGACCAATTGCACAACCATTGGTTAAACCGTCAATCAAATCCGCGTTTAAAAGAACAGATAAACACAGACGAGATGTCAACATAGATAGAGTGACAGCGTTTTTCAATGTTAACATCTGATAGTTGGTCGGGAAGAAAAGATTCTTTTGATATTATTTCGGAGTCTTATCATGGATACACAAGTATAAGATACATTATCTAACTGTCATACAAAATCTCTTTATTTGTGAAATACTGAGCTCGGCAACTGGTGATTCAACGTGGTTCAGATATGAATAAAATCGTGGAAATGTTGTGGAAGGACACATTAAAAAGCTTAGTTAAACTCAACTATATCACTCCTCCTATGTTCTTCTGATTAATTTCAAACAAACTTGACCTTCATTAGTTGGGTTTTTATGGCGGTCAAGATCCTGGGTACACAGGAGTTGCAGTGGTGGGAAACAGAAGTGGGAATAGTCCCGTAACTATATCATTATTTCAATATAGGTACTCGTATTTGTATAGTTGATCCCAGGACCTGCTAGATACTATCAGATTGACAGAAAACTCATGAACCTAATGTCATTTCCATGTTTAGAAAAAAATACTGGGTGACATTACACCCAAACGAAACAACTTCGAATGTTTTCATTTGATCTATACTAATATTATAAATGCTAAAGTAACTCTGTCTGTCTGTCTCGCTTTCACGCTTAAACCACTGAACCGATTTTGATGAAATTTGGCATAGAGATAGTTTGAGTCCCGGGAAAGGATATAGGATAGTTTTATCCCGGTTTTTGAAACAAGGACGAGTGCGATAAAGTTTTTCTGTGACAGCGAAGCCGCGGGCGGAAAGCTAGTTGTTTAATATCTTATGTGATTGAACATTATCTTAATGTACTTACATGAATGAAATGTACGCTATTTTTATTTTAGTACATTGGCAATTCTTTTACTAAGAAAATGCCCGAAAATGTTAATGTTCTATTAGTACGTCCGATTTAAAATTCGAACATCAGAAACAAAAGCCAGCTTAAATAATCTGAACTAATTACCGTCTTCAACTCTAATTATACAATTAAGACTGAAAATGTTCATTTGGTTCGCAGCTTACATCACTAGTGTCCTCTACGTTGACACTCGGCCAATTGTGAAGTTAATCACCGGTTTAACTAACAAAGCTTTGTGTCGAATTTTCACTAATTACCAGAAACGGTGCGGAATAACCTAACTATAGTTAAGTATGGTTAAGCAAACCGTCACGGCGTGGAAGGTCTTTGCGTTTTGTGTGGTTAACACTTGCTTCACTGAATGTCAATAATTGAGTCAAAGTCACTGTTTTTGTCACTTCATAATAAATAAATAATAAAAATAGTGAAAAATTAANCAGTCAAGACACAGGTCCCGTCAGTCAAGACACAGGTCCCGTCAGTCAAGACACAGGTCCCATCAGAAGGCGCACCCGCACTTCGGCGACTTCCAGATGATCCTGATGGCGCTGCACCGCCTCGAGGACGCGGCCGGCAGCGCCAGGACCCAGGTGTCCGAGCAGGAGCTATCCGCCTACAACAACAAGGCGCACGGTGAGTCGCAGACACAGGTCCCGTCAGTCCAGACACAGGTCCCGTCAGTCAAGACACAGGTCCCGTCAGTCCTTTTCCATTTCCAGGGCACCTATACACGTCCCAAATATAGCATACCCTACCACCATTTTATCCTCACGCAATTTTTATTCTCACGCAAAAACTACTGAACGGTTTTGACGAAACTTTACAGTTTTATTGTTTATCCAATCAATTTAGTCATTACATGTTATGTCTTTAATTTAATGTTCTTTAGTTTTACCAGCGTAAATACAAATGAGTAGGTCATCTTCATAGAAACTCGCAGCAATTTTCAAGATTCGGCGCAACTCCCCGCTAATCCCCGCTAAATTTTGTCAGTGTGTGCGTGCGCGCCGCATACGTATTGGCGCGCTCACATACAAATCGCGCTCGGGCGTTTCTATGAAGATGACCTCATTTGTATTTACTCTGGTTTTACCCAACTAGTCACGCTGGTCTCAGTCTTTACATAATATTCTATTCCGGCCTCCAAGCTTCTAGCATTATCTGTCTTGTTTCAGCCTTGGACACCATCCCCTACTCGCAGCTCCAGAATTGGAGTGTTAAATATGCAGACAGAATATCTAAGAAGGTAACGTAATCCAAACATCTGAATATCTTTTCATATTAGGCTAAGTTTCTGGGGTGGGGGTGTTGGATCTCATTTGACTTTTATCTTCTGAAATCGAGTAAGCGTCCTCTAAAATCCAGGTTTATACGGCGTATTGACAAATCCAGGACTGATATTAAAGTCGCATTAACTGCGCGGATTGCAGTTCAGTTGAACTGAGCGCGTGTTTGGATCGCGAAATCTAGTCATCATCATCATCATCTCAGCCATAGGACGTCCACTGCTGAACATAGGCCTCCCCCAATGCTTTCCACATCACCCAGTTGGTAGCGGCCTGCCAGCGCCTTCCTGCTACCCTTATGAGGTCCACTTTGTGGGTGTACGTCACACGCTGCGCTTTTCGGTGCGTGACCTCCACTCTAGAATCTTTTTTGCCCCATCTGGTGTTAGATAGTAAAATAGATAAAATTACTTAGCTTTTCGTCGCTCCACGCGGCATTCACAGGAGGTGACATTGTCGTCACGGCTGCGCTCCGACGACTAACCTGTGATTGCGTTTATGAGTGCGAATAGGCCTTTTATATTTTTTCCCCACTATTGTTGTAACGTACTACCGGCCGTCACTGCTTTGTTATCTATACTTATAATAAATCTGTAGAGAGGTCAATCCTGTACATGAAATATATTTTCAAAATAACTATCAGGGGGTGATTAGTGATCGATACTGATGTCAAAAATGCAATCAGTAAAATTTTTGTCTGTCTGTCTGTATGTTCCGTATAGAAATAAAAACTACTCGACGGATTTTAACGAAACTTGATACAACTATTCTTCATACTCCTGGGCAGGTTATAATATACTTAGGAATTCCCACGGGAACAGGAATTAGCGGGAAAATCCTTTTGTATGAAAAATCTAAACCGCTTAAGTTAGACGCTTGAAATTTGGTATGTAGGTACCTTAGTAAACTTAAAGCTTAGTTACAACAGGATATTGCAAAATTCCCACGGGAACGGGAGTTAGCGGGAATAAACATTTGTATGAAAAAATCCAAACCGCGAAAGATAGATGAAGGAGGTAAAACGGGATCCACGCGTACGAAGTCGCGGGCGGCCGCTAGTTACTAATATTATGGTATGATATTGTCGGCCTTTAAACTTAATTTTGCTTGTCCGCAGATCTTGGAGCACATCGATGGCTTAGACGTGAACGTGGGTAGTTCCGACCGGCCCGAGGACGTCGCGCGCCGCCGCGTGCGCGCCGAGCTCAAGAAACTCGTGCCTTACCTACCCACGGTGAGCTGAACAAATTAAATCAAATCAAATCAATTGAGCTGTATAACTATTGTAACATCTACCTTATTGTATTACCTTGTCTCGGTGAATAAATGATATTTTTAATCTTTTTTTAGGGTTCCGTAGCCAAAATGGCAAAAACGGAACCCTTATAGTTTCGTCATGTCCGTCTGTCCGTCTGTCCGTCTGTNAATGAAAATTTAAAGAGATAAAGCGCCCCAAAGTTCATAAGAAGAGGCCCGTGACGTCAACGCTTGCTTAAAAATGCCGCACGTTGTGACGTCGTGCGCAACTTCAACGCACCATAACTATGTAATTATTTGTTAGATTGACAAATAAAATTATACGTGTCCAATATTTTTTGATATTATACATTACGGACTAAAAAAATGTTTTTAGGCAACTAGCCTATTGAGCTGTATAACTATTGTAACATCTACCTTATTGTATTACCTTGTCTCGGTGAATAAATGATATTTTTAATCTTTTTTTTTTGAATCAAAAATGTGGTTTTGTGGACTTTTAAGGCGGTTGACGTACTACTCGTAGTCAATTAAGTTTTATCGCCAGAAACGCAGATCTTATTATCTTTGTAATAATAAAATGATTTTAACCAAATTCCACAATTTACTTCCAATTGAAATCCTTTACACAATCCTTCCTTCCATCATCGGGGAACCAGACGCAGGTTAGCGTACCATCCCTATATTGTTGACATTCAACCAGCTTGCACTAAGCGTTTCGATGACTTATAATGCGAAGAGCTAGGGACTGGAATTCGCTGGCTGCTGCTGTCTTTCCCGAAGACTATAATCCGGGCCTTTTCAAGGCGAGAGTGAATAGGCACTTACAGGGCAGATATGTACCATCCTAGACTGCATCTCACTTAACATCAGGTGCGATTGCGGTCAAATACCTGCCTTGTTGTGCATAAAAAAAATCTAGTTTTTTGTAAAAATATCCTTACTCCTGCATTTCTTTTCTTTACAGATCGTGCGTGATGTGGCCACAGAACAAATGACCCCAGATCACAACAACAGCGTCTTCAGAATGAGGGTAAGTGTGTTTAACCGTAAATATAACTTTAACTGGTGTTTTTGTATGGAGTTTGACAGACTTTAGCCTCCTTACTAATAAAAAGTTACACAAGTGTTGTAAAGATGTTTATATGTATTACTTTTTTATACTAAACGTCACTTTAAACAACCTGTGTAGGATCTACAGCTTGACCGCCACAAAAACCCGACCAATGAAGGTCAAGTTTGTCCCGGGGGAAAGTTAAACTGTCATTGGACCCGCAAATAAATTAATCAGAAGAACATAGGAGGAGTTCGAAATTAAGGTTCGACTTCCCTCCATTGCAAAGCGGATGACAAACAAAGGTTTAAAACCTTTAAGAAAAGATTATGCACCACGGACAATAAATATCAATTAAGGGGGCCTATCTTATGAGCAATTAGCAACTATAGTCTGGTCCGTGAGCACGTAGAATTTTGTCCAATGACCCCTAGCTACCCATCTTTATCGCTCGCGTGTAATTATGTTGCTATTGCGCTCGCACACTCACTGCGGGTGCCAGTCGCACAGTCGCGACAGCAATATAATTACGCGCGAGCGATAAGGATGGGTAGCTAGGGGTCACTGGACAAAATTCTACGTGCTCACGGACCAGACTATAGTTGCTAATTGCTCATAAGATAGGCCCCCTTAATTGATATTTCTTGAAGGTTAAAGCTTTGTTTGTCACCTGTCATCCGCTTTGCAATGGAGGGAAGTCGAACCTTAATTTCGAACTCCTCCTGTTCTTCTGATTAATTTCGTTGCGGGTCCAATGACAGTTTAACTTTACCTGCCAATAATATTTTTCACACGCGGCTCATTTAATTTATCCCAGATATACGGCGAGCCGTTCCTGCCAAACCACCACTCGGTGGACCCGATCCTGCGCAAGCTGCGAGCCACTCACATCAGTCGCTCGTCGTTCACCTTCAACATGGTGCGGTTTAATGTGCCCAGCGCTACCTACCATCAGACTATCGCGCTAAACGGCAAGGAAGTTGGTGAGTCACTTATTGTTCTTGTAGAAGAACAAATTTGAGCCCCTTTAATTCAAAATGAAGGCTATCGCTGTGACCTCTTATGGTATAAGGCACGCGCGTACGGGTGACTTTTGCAAACGTGACAATACTGTCATACTTGTCTTATATATGGAGAGACATACATTGTCTCTCTTTCCTACTTTATAGAAGTGTAAAAGAGAAAGATATACTGTCACGGTCACAAGAAGTCACCCGTGCGCACATTGCCTAATAGGGTAGGTACTCGATGCCATTATCAGGTCATTCTGTTTCGCCATTGCAGGAGGACGACTCTCTCCAAATCATCAAGGGAAAAATCCATTTGAAAGGACCAAATCTTTCATTTACTTCTGATAAATTAAAGAGGTTCGCGCTCCTACAACGAAGACTAAATTACCTGATGATGATGAATTTAGTACCAAGATGATGATTAGTTTATATTGCCCATAGTTTGTAAATAACCATTTCAGCCTGAGAACATTTCACCGACCTTCAAGACTAAACTTCTTCCAAGTCAAAGCTGGCAAGTGTAAAAGAAACTGGAAACAACATCCGACAACTGTCAGCCGCCTATCTTTAGCATAGTACCTACATTGACGTTGCGAGGTGCCATGCTAAAGGTAAATGATTGGCGTTGTAAGTTCAACGTGATATCTTCCAATAATAGGGATGTTTCCTGGGTAAAAAAGCAAGAGTTTTAATTAGTCCGTCGGTTAACTTATCAAAAAAATTCGACGCATATAAACTTTCTCAAAGTAATGAAAATTGAAAGAGATATTAAAGCGAGCCAATGTTCAAAAGAAGAGGCCCGTGACGTCAAGGCGTGCTTAAAAGCACTTACTGACGTCACACGGAAGTTCAACGCAAAATAACTTAAGTAATTACTTGTTTGATTGAGAAATAAAAATGACTCAAATTTTTTGATAATCTACTTGACGGACTAAGTTATTTTTTAGGAAACTAGCTTTGTATTGCCGTAGTTTGTACATAATCATTTCAGCCTGAGAACATTTCATCGGCCTTCAAGACGAAGCTTAAGAAACTGGATCCGACAACTGTCAGCCGCCTATCTTTAGCATAGTACCTACATTGCCGTTGCGAGGTGCCATGCTAAAGGTAAATGCTTGACGTTGTAAGCTCAACGTGATATCTCCACGCGCCGTCTGTCCACCGCCTTCTATTTAGCATTCATCAGAGGTGTTATATATCGCTTCATCCACGAAGACGCGCCCCACCATTCTTCCGCTAATGTTTGAGTGTTATCGGTACACGCTAAGTTATCCATGAGTGCACACGCACACTACAATAATGACGCTCGGAAAGCTCGGATCAAACTCCCCGCACCTCGCGCTTCCCTCGACTAAAAATTGGTGAGGCGCGTCTTCGTTGATGAAACGATCTATAACCATTTCAGCCTGAAAACGTTTCTTCATTGACCTTCAAGACTTCTTCAAATCTAAGCTGGCAAGTGCTTATGAAGCTGGATCCGTCCGACAACTGTCAGCCGCCTATCTTTAGCATAGTACCTACATTGCCGTTGCGAGGTGCCATGCTAAAGGTAAATGATTGGCGTTGTATAGTCAACGACTCAACGTGTTATAAACCAATAATTCCACTAAATTGTCAAAATGTTTAGTTTGTAGTGCCGTGTGCCGTAGTTTGTACATAATCATTTTAGCCTGAGAACATTTCTTCACCGGCCTTCAAAATGGCGAACTTCTTCAAATCTAAGCTTAAGATGCTGGATACGACGTGCGACAACTGTCAGCCGCCTATCTTTAGCATAGTACCTACATTACCGTTGCGAGGTGCCATGCTAAAGGTAAATGATTGGCGTTGTAAGCTCCACGTGATATAACGTCCTTCGTTTGAAAGTTTGAAACACATTTTAAATCTGCTTTGTAAGTTGTTATGTGGTTTAGAATCCATGTATGTAACTGTAACACAAATAATTATAATGAATAATTTTGTAATAAATGTTTTAAACTACGTGCTTCGAAATAACTGTTTTTATAATTATGTACTGTCGACAGCACCTCAAGACTAAATTTTTAATAAAAATAAAACTAATTGCAACTGTATGAAATAGCTCGAAATGCCGTCGTCTACTCGTCTTTAAACATAGTATGTGCGTTTTAATTTCTAATTGTTTTTATTTGTATTGAGCCTGTTTCATGTTTTTAGTGTCTATTTGATTACGAGATCATGTAATATACTAAGCCTAGGCGCAGACTACTCACTTTTAGTCGGCCGATAGTTGGCCCGATTTTAATTTGTATGAAGAATCGGCCGATAGCAAATCGGTGTAATGTGCGCACTTTCATACATCTCCGTACTGATAAACAGCCCGACCCAACTATCAGCCAACTAAAAATCGGTGGTCTGTACCTAGGCTTAGTTATTTATTTACATACATGCCTGTTTGATATTATCTACCTATTTAGATTTAGTACTACTAAGCTGCTGAGTTTTATGTTATTTTTGTGAAAGTGATATTTATGATAATGTAATTTGTTTTGTTTTGTATGTTTCCCTACAAAACATTGTAAAATTGGTGTTGCACGGCATTCAAGATGGTTTCCAAATCAAGAACTATTTATGTTTTTTTTTTGATAAATAATTGTATGTTTCCCTCCAAAACATTGTAAAAGTGCTGCACCGCATTCAAGATGGTTTCCAAATCAACAAATGTCTTTCCAGACGGCGCGAAGCTGATCGTCCGGTTCTCCATGGGCATGAACTACAAGGTGAAGCCGGAGCTGAAGCTGAGCATGGCCACGGCCTTTGACCCGGCCAGCAACTTGGACCCCATGGCGCTCGCCGACATGGAGGAGGAGATCGGCTTCGAGAACGGGGGCAGCTGGGACGAGTGATGAGGGGGTGGGCGAGTGATACGGGGAGTGGGCGAGTGATGCGGGGAGTGGGCGAGTGATACGGGGAGTGGGCGAGTGATACGGGGAGTGGGCGAGTGATACGGGGAGAGCTGGGACGAGTGAAGTGCTTAGTTAGGAAGGACTGCTTGTAATGTTAGGTTAAGTGACAATAAAGTTTATAAAAAAACTAATGTGGTTTTTCTTCACGTAGGTTAACTTACACCGAACGAAGATATAGTGAGCTGCCTAACTAAATGTTCGAAGATATAGTGAACTGCCTAAATGTAGTCCCAGGTTCGATTCTGAGGGATAATGACGTCTGCTGAATTTGCTCTTTTATTTGTCATGGCTGTCTGGCTGCATAGCTCACTTTTTACTGTCACTATAGGTAGAAGAAAACACCTGTATTTAAGTACCTTAGATATTGGCTACATGCGGCGGATTGCTTAATTAGGTCTAATATTCAAGTAGGATAGATTATCTGCTTGAAATCTTTTGAATTTGAGTACCACTATTTGGCTAGAAGGACTGATAGTGAGGTTTGCAATAGTTTGACAGTCTATCAGTGTTAGTAGATGGATAGTCTATCAGTGATAGTCGGTTCTCCATGGGCGTGAACTACAAGGTGAAGCCGGAGCTGAAGCTGAGCATGGCCACGGCATTCAACCCGGCCAGCAACTTGGACCCCATGGCGCTCGCCGACATGGAGGAGGAGATCGGCTTCGAGAACGGGGGCAGCTGGGACGAGTGATGCGGGGGTGGCCGAGTGATACGGGGAGTGGGCGAGTGATACGGGGAGTGGGCGAGTGATACGGGGAGAGCTGGGGCGAGTGATACGGGGAGTGGGCGAGTGATACGGGGGGTGGCCGAGTGATACGGGGAGAGCTGGGACGAGTGAAGTGATGTAATTGTGTAGTTAGGTGTATCTACGGACTGCTTGTAATGTTAGGTTAAGTGACAATAAAGTTTTTAAAAAAGCTATTTTAAGTGGTTTTTCTTTGTGTAGGTTAATTTAGAAGGATCGAAGATATAGTGAACTGCCTAAATGTAGTCCCAGGTTCGATTCTGAGGGACAATGACGTCTGCTGAATTTGCTCTTTTATTTCTTCCCATGGCTGTCTGGTTAGTGCTACATATCCCACTTTTTACTGTCACTATAGAAGAAAACTGTATCTATGTAGGTACCTTAAAGATATTGGTCATTTAATTCAAACGTAGTCGATTAGTCGGGTTGTATTTCGTCTAAAAAGTAGTGGTATTCTTTGGTCAGGGGGCATTAGTAATCCAACGGATGGCGAGAAACACTGATAGTGAGGTTTACAATAGTATAATAGTATCAGTGATGGTTCTCCATGGGCGTGAACTACAAGGTGAAGCCGGAGCTGAAGCTGAGCATGGCCACGGCCTTCGACCCGGCCAGCAACTTGGACCCCATGGCGCTCGCCGACATGGAGGAGGAGATCGGCTTCGAGAACGGGGGCAGCTGGGACGAGTGATGCGGGGGTGGCCGAGTGATACGGGGGCAGCTGCGACGAGTGAAGTGATGTGTAATGTGTTACGGACTTCTTGTAATGTTAGGTTAAGTGACAATAAAGTTTATAAGAAACATCATGGTTTTTCATTGGTCCCAGGTTCAATCCGTAAGGCTAAGAACTCATGGCGCGATTTATCACCCGCGCCCGCGGCGGTTGCGGGCCCGCAGCTTCTCTAGAATGCAGATACTTATTTATGTAAAAACTAATGCACAATTCACGACGCGGTTTTCGCCCGCAGCGGGCGCGGTTGTAATCGGGTCCCGATCGGCGGGCGACCATTTTGTACCAGTGACTTAGCACGCAGCGCAATTTAAAATCGCGCCGTAAGTTCTTAGAATAACCGCTCCCGTTGTTTTGAAATAAAACCGCAATTCCACAACCACCGCGGGCGCGGGTGAAAATGGGCCGTGAGTTCTTAGCCTAATAGTTTTCTCGCTACATATTTCAATATTGCTGTCACTATGGCCGATTGGAAATCTCTATAAATCTATTTACCTGATAAGTGTGCTAGGTATATCTAGGTGGAATAAGAGATTCTCTACTTCCGCCAGCGGGTTAGCCGGCGCGCGGTGGTGTTATAAATGGCCTTATGAATTTAGTATAGTGTTGCTTTTGCTTTGATGTTCAAAAAGCTGTGGCCCGGCGTCGCCACAGTTTAAGAAATTGCTTATCCAGATAATCTATTGGGGCAGCCTTGAATTAGTGTCACGAATCACTACCTATGCTGCAGTGTTTAGCTTGACTCTTGAGGGATCATTATTTTGGGGAATCAATTAAAACATATTTTTATATAAATAAATGAAAACAATTTTATTTCAGATCTCGATTGAAACAATAAATAGCAATAATTGTCATTATAATATTGAATAAAATTAACAAATGCATAGACAATGCAATAGTTTGGATACATATTTATATCTTTGAAGGTAATAATTATATAAAAATAACATATACGGAAGCATATAGCGTTGGTAAATCGCACAGAACTAAACAAGGATGTTGGGCGAACAATTTGACCAACAACACTGAACAAATCGAACAACAAAACCATTTCATATGGAATGAGAATTCGGTGGATAAAAAAATACTGATTCTATATCTCTTATATTAAAATATATGTTTGTACATCTTATAATGAACGAGGCATTTGTTTTCGTTAGAATGAAAAAACGATGTTTTAGAAATACAATAGCAATTTTAACATGAACTAAAGTACATATTTTTAAGTTGAAGATCAAAGGACAGGTAAAAGATGTCAAGAAGAACAACAATGCCAATGTATTCTAAGCTCATGTTATAAATGCAAAAATTTATAAAACACTATGTACCTATACCCGTATTTGAAACAAATTATAATAATGACATGAAATAAGTTAATTTGTGACTTAGAATGAATAATTTCTTACAAGGTACATCAAATTGCATCGGCCTATCTCAATATACGCGATTAATTACTATAAAAAAAGCTTGTAATATTTAAGTCTCATGAGTAAAGTTTTATAATGTTTCTTATATAGTATTTAACAATTAGGTCCAATATGTGTGTAGGTTTAAAATTCATAAGTTTTGAACAACCGCGTAGACCAAGATGGTACTTTAACATCGAATATTAATGAATTAGGCCAGTATAAGGCGTTGTGGACAAATTCTTACGAGTAGACTGTGCGATTCAACCATTCTTCGAGGGAGAACGTAGCGTATTCGCCTCCCGAGGATCTTCCTTTGAACGTATCTGTAATTTTGAATGTTTATTTAATAAAAGGTTTAAATTGGCGCGGTGGTGACATTTAGTAAGCGTTGTGCGGTGTCTGTGGTTTATGGCGCTAGTTTTATAAATATAAAATTGTTATTTATTTGATGTATTAAATTATAGTATAAAAAATAGGATAAAAGGCTTTGGTTTGGCTATGAAAGGTTTTTTTCACGCGAAATCTAATCTAAAATGTCTCAATGCATTTTTTGCGACTCATTATTATTTATTTGACCAAACCAAAGTCTAATTTATTGTGTAGCGTAATCAACCACTTTTGCTGAACATTAAAGGAACAGAAGATGTTACAGAAAGTATATTAGTGAACCTGGAACAAGCCCAAATGTGTTGCTTTATTATTTGCGAACAGTTGCACGTATAATAAACTTTTCAATGTTTTATTTAGTTGAGTAATTTAATTTGTTGAGTCTTATACTGTCGCAAATAATATTAGTCAAGAGGTAAAAGAGGAGATGCCATTTTGTTTAAATTTTAAGTTACATTTAATAAGGACTGGATCTTGGTGAAATATTATTAACAGAGTTAAGATTAGACCCCATATTTTTTTATTTACTTTTGTGGGATATCTATATTATAAGAACTTTCTTTTGTTTGAAATTGAGTTTTGGCATTGTCCTGCCCGGTGGTACCAAATTATCTCAATGATACCACCTTTGTAATACATAAAATGCAGCGAGTATTGATTAGCATAATCAAAAACGACGAACTTGAACAGTAATCCGCCAAGATCCAATAAAATTGTCAATAACATAGGTCAAATTTTTCAATCGTCTGACATTTTGACTGAAGAATAAAAATCAAATCGAATCGAATGAAAACTTTGTCTTAGCTTCTAAAAGCTAAAGTTCTTTTAACCACAAAGACTTAATACTGCTTGTCGTGCTTGACTCCTGCATTAGCAGAAGAAAGAATATAAACCCATAAGAAAACTGTCACATTCTATAATGAAATTGTCAATATAAAGATGAACTACACTGAAATGTCCCACCGACGACATTGACAGAAGGGCGCCACCGTCTTCGTTCAACTACATGGTTTCCACCGTGGCAAAAGTCGGAACTAGCGATCCGCTACTGACGGTGGCCCACCTGTCAGTGTCAAATAAAGGACAGTTCAGTGTAGTTCTTCTCTACCAAATGCACCGTCTTACTTTATCTATAACAAACGTCAAAGTCTATCAAACTCCATACAAAAACACTCATTAGAGTTACGGTGATGCAACTCCATCTAAATATTCTTCAGTTAAAAGTTATCCTACGATTGAATAATCAGTCCAAACACATAAAAGTTATCTAGCGGTTAGAAAAATCTGCAATCTCCCCCTTTCCCCTAGTGGATGTCGTCAGATGTGCGTACTTTGCACTTGTAACCTGCGCCGGCGCCTCACGCGTTCCACTGCATGTCACGCTCAAGATTCTCCAGCGGTTCGTTGTTCGCTGTTTTGATTATTGCACACAGTAAATTGTAGGGTAGTTAAAGATAATAAGTACTAATCTACCAGAGTAAAAAATACATTGTAAAGTACCTACTGTTTCGCTGTTTCGAATTGTTACAATGTTATTATTGTACACAGTAAATTGTAGGGTAGTTAAAGATAATACCTACAGTAAGTAAGAAAAATAAAGTACCTACTAGTCTATTTCGCTGTTACATTGGGATTATGCACACTTTAGTAATCAAAATAAGTAAGTACCTACAACAATAAAAAAAGAAAAACAAAATGCCTACTTTCAGTGGCGTATTTTTTTTTTTTTTTTTATCCACAACGAGGAAGCTCTTGGCCTGTATAGTCTGGTCCGGGAGCACGTAGAATTTTGTCCAATGACCCCAAGCTACCCATCCTTATCGCTCACGCGTAATTATGTTGCTGTCACGTTCGCACACTCACTGTGGGCGCTCGTCCCACAGTCGCGACAGCAATTACGCGCGAGCGATAAGGATGGGTAGCTTGGGGTCATTGAACAAAATTCTACGTGCTCTCGGACCAGACTATAGTTTGCCTTAGACAGGCCCTGTATCAAAATTTGTCAGGGGCTCGACCTAAAAAGATCATAGATCAAGGTGCGCTTTTCGTCAAAAAATATGACATTCCAAAATCTAATAAAAAAAATCCGGCACTGGGGCCCCGTATTATTGATACGGCGGCAGCTACGCCCCTGCCTGCTTACTTAAAAAAAAAACAACTAATTGCAATAAAAAAAACAATAATCAAAGTCTACCCTACTTTAAAAGATCGTCTACAGCCTAGCCTAGCGTAGAAATCTGTTGAATAAATTACATTACTTTTAATAATGGTTTGTGGACTATTTGTTGATTAACGGACTGTAAAGCCTGGTCCGTGAGCACGTAGAATTTTGACCAATGACCCTGCGCACTCACTGCGGGCGCCCGTCGCACAGTCGCGACAGTAATATAATTACGCGCGAGCGATAAGGATGGGTAGCTTGGGGTCATCGGACAAAATTCTACGTGCTCACGGACCAGGCTTTAGTAGGTATTGAAAATAAGTCCCTATCAGTAAAAGTTAAAATGATTTAGCAATATTAGTGCAAAACTTATCGATCATGGTCTTGAGTCGCACGGCGCACATTATGAAGTCGTCGAACTGTATGTACCCGTCTGATGAACCGTATCTGTGCGGACATAAAGTTTAAATTAATAATAATAAAGTTACGTAAGATTTGATAAGTTTAGATCAGACATTTGGTTTCTATTTGTGTACCGACTACCGGCTTCCAATGGGCAGTCAAATATTCCATAGATTATATATGGCATTAAAAGCCGATTGTGTCACTATTTCACTGCAGAAAAATGACTCTTTTATCATAATATAGGTTAATGGAGGATTTGGAATACACTCTTCACGTTAGTCAGACAATTTGGAGATGGGTCTATTACAAGCTTTTTACAAGCTTTTTTATTACTTTCACATGTCTGGTGTCTGTCGTCAAATCTTGCAACTTAAAATTGACCCACTTCCCGGTTTTCTATTGAGCTGGAATTTTGCATGCATGTGTAAGTCGGATGACAATGCAATATTATGATGACACGGAGCTGATCTGATGATGGAGCTGGAAGGTAGTCATAGGAACTCCGCAATAAAACGACACAGGCCTATCGAGTTTGGGCTCGTTTAATTTGTATTGACGAGAACTATAATCCTGTATGGTAACCATTAGGGTCTGATGATGGAGCCGGAAGGTGTCCATAGGAAATTCGCACTGAAACAACACAACCTCGTCGAGTTTGGGCTCGTTTAATTTTTATTGACGAGTACTTTAATTATAGATGGTAACCATCAGGGTCTGATGATGGAGCCGGAAGGTGTCCATAGGAAATTCGCACTGAAACAACACAACCCCGTCGAGTTTGGGCTCGTTTAATTTATATTGACGAGTACTTCAATCCTACATGGTAACCAGGGTCTGATGATGGAGCCGGAAGGTAGTTCAAGGTAGTCATAGGAAATTTGCAATAAAACGACACAATGTCATCGAGTTTGGGCTCATTTGATTCGTATTGACGAGTAGGTACTTTAATCCTACATGGTAACCAGGGTCTGATGATGGAGCCGGAAGGTGGCCTTATGAAATCCGTACTAAATCGACACAACCCCGTCGAGTTTGGGCTCGTTTTATTCGTATTGACGAGTACTTCAATCCTACATGGTAACCAGGGTCTGATGATGGAGCCGCACGGTGGTCATAGGAACTTTGCAATAAAACGACACAATACCATCGAGTTTGGGCTCGTTTGATTCGTATTAATGAGGACTTCAATTTTATATGATAAACAGGATCTGATGATAGAGCCGGCAGGTGGCTATAGGAATTCCACACTAAAACGACACCACCTTATCGAGTTTTCGCTCATTTGATTCGTATTGATGAGCACTTCAATCACATAATATGATAACTAGGGTCTGATAATGAAGCTGGAAGGTGGTCACATGAACTTTGCAATAAAACGACACAATACCATCGAGTTTGGGCTCGTTTAATTTGTATTGACGACAACTTCAATCCTATATGATACTAGGGTCTAATTATGGAGTTGGAATGTGGCCATAGGAACTCCGCAATAAAGCGACACAACCCCGTAGACTTTGGGCTCATTTAATACGTCGCAAGTCGTAACCCTATCAAATGGGAATAATGTTCGTTACATTTAGTATGAATGTAAGTAGTTTCATTTTGATTAGATGAATAACCCATTGCAAAGGTGCACGAGCTGAGAGCTGAATATGAATATTATGAGGGTGTATAAAAAATAATATGTCATAATCACTAACGCTGCGCCTTAACCAAAATGTTTCAATAAATTTCAACTTTTCAAACCCGCATTATAAATACTAAAAAGTCGAAAATAAAATTAAATAAAAAAATATTTTTCAAAAACAAGCTTTTAATGCTCTAAAAAGAATAAAATAAAACAAACCCATCAACTTATTACTTTACTCAATTTATATGATTAAAAGCTTGTCGCGAGATTTACTTGTATAAAAAATACATTAAATACGTAACTTGATCTTGCTAAAACTTTGATCTAAGAAAAAAATCAAATAGTTAAATACATACATCTAGTAAATCTCGCGACAAGCTTTTAATCATATAAATTGAGTAAAGTAATAAGTTGATGGGTTTGTTTTATTTTATTCTCTAGAGCATTAAAAGCTTGTTTTTGAAAAATATTTTTTTATTTAATTTTTTTATTAATATTATTCCTATAATCAAGGCAATAACATTTAAAATCTGTTGGGAACTAAATTCCCACCGTCATTAAAAGGCATCAAAGGGTTAACCTGAGACCTAGAATGTTGACATTACCCGGCTGATTCCAGAGCATCACGCAGGTTGTGTTATTAACCAGAAGAATAATAAAAAGAGTTGGAACTACAGCGCCCTTCCTGTATCCCGCTCCCTGGGTAAGCCCATGACTATAAGGCAGCGGTTCCCAAACTTATTTAGTCTACTGCCCACTTTGAGAATACATTATTTTTTAGCGCCCCCCATTTTTGTAGTCAAGAGTCGAGCTCAGTCGGTGTCTAAGAGTCCTCCTAGTAGATGACGCCTCCCAAGCCTCTACACAACGTCCCGATTTTTTTTCTGGGTCTCTTACCGCCCCCCTTTAAGCCTGCAGCGCCCACAAGGGGGCGTTATCGCCCACTTTGGGAAAGACTGCTATAAGGGGAAGAAGAATACGTACCTGTGAGCTAGAACGTTGAGTATATGCGCGTTGACAGTATATCCGGCCGAATGGAGTGCGTCACGTAGATGGTGAGCCGGGATCGCGCCGCGGCCTTCTGTGTCGTAGAGCCGGAATACAGCCTGCAACCATGATCATCATCATAGAACACAAAATATGCAGCTGGAACACAGCTCATGACCACGCACCACAAAATAAGGGAAGATATGTTACATTACATGTTATATTTGTATAAAATGAAATGTCTTTTATGAAATCACTGGCTCTTGCTTGCCCGAATTTTAGTCTATCATACAAAGTCACATTATCATACGCCCCTACTGATATTTTTACTGTGCCTGGATGAATTCTTGGAGAAATGTCTAAGCATGATAGCTACATATTATGTACTATCCTTCCTTATTAAGGACAATCGGAGCTATACAATTTATTAACACTCATTTTGACCTATCTTTTGAGATCATTTTCTTATCATTCAATAATAAGTCGATTTAATAAATAAAAGTTTAAAAAATGTAATACAAGGAAAATACACTAAATAATATTTAATTTCATTCAAATGCCGTAGACGTGCACATTTCTTTTTTCAAACTCAAATACAGGGCCCCTGTCCCTGCTCCTGTAACAGGGGTAAACAAGTTCAAATATTTAGAGGTGTTCTAACGTCAACAATGATGTAAACTCACCCGCCAATTGCGCAGATCTATCCACAGAGCCTTGAACTCCTCGAAGCCCAGGCCGCCGGAGCCGTCCTTGTCTAACATCGCGATCATGCTACGGCACACATCCTTGGAGAAACCTTGCCCTTTGAGTTCTGAAACAGTTGGTAACGGTTAGAGGGGGTGGTGGAGATTGGGAATGGGAGACGCGACTTGGAAATTAATTTGCGTTTTTTAAGAATGATGAAAACAAGACAAACATCTTCCATTGGTACTGAGGGGCGAGATAGCTGATGTCGCGTATTTCCCCATCTTTTGACACTCTGGCAAATTTGGACCAATGCTACGCTCACATGGTTCAGTGGTTTACGTGCTGGAAGTAAAAGTTGTGCAAGCAATGGTTGAAATATGAGAAACTTCTCAATATTAAAGTAGAGGGAGACAGAAATATACTGTAGATGAATATCACATCAAGACAGGACGAAAAAACAGCATCAATTGATGCTCTTTTCAATTATGTAGTTTGAAAAAGAAATAGATTTTGTAATATACATAACACAGCCGAACAAGTTTTTAAAGACATTCGTAGAGTGAGTAATTCATGCTAATTTCATTCATATTATACGTGAGTAAGGTTGATATTATCTCAATGAACGTATAATAAATTAAGTTCCAAGTCGCATCTTTAAATACACAATTAAATAACATAGTATGTACCTAATAAGAAAAAAACTATGTCATTTAATTATACTTAAAAATATTTATGGAAATGGAGGTGATTTAATTAAGACTAAAAAGTTTATTTCTTTTAAAATGCCCATTTTTGAGTGCCTTCATAGATGTGCCATATTTACATACATGCGTACAGAGAAGCTGTTATGTTGATATTTCCAATTAAATTGATAATATCAACATATGGTGTTAGTAGCAACGTTACAGCTAATAAAAGTTTTGTAAAACAATGCTTTTATGTACATTTTGTACAATAAATAAACAAAAACATAGATAAAAGCATAATTTTACATAAATACATACAGAAATAAAACAAAAGTATAATCGGAGACCACCTGGAATAAAAATAAAACACGAAAAAAACTTAAAACTAAAAAATAAAGAAAATAATAATCAAAAACAGACATTTTAAATTTTATTCGCCTCCATTTCAATAAAAACAAGTTAAAAATAAAAAGAAGATAGTCGCATGCATCCGACGTTCCGGGAAATTCTGAAAAATACAAAACTGAATACACAATTAGTAAATCAATTAATTATGAAGTTAAAAAAATTGAAAACAAATGAATATTAGATAAAAATAGAATTTTTATCAGATATTTATAAGAAACGGACATGGGAAATGTCTTAGTTCAACCGGACATTAAGTGAGCGAAGAATCGTGGTGAATTTAAAATACTAGCAAGTAGTTATTTACTTGGTTCACAATTTGACAGTTGCAAAGATGGTCGCAGTCAACCGTTTAAGAGATATACAAAAAGTTTTTGTGCAACTAGTATGAACCCTTAGACAGATGGCAAATTTGACTCTTGTAATTTCGAAAAGCCATCGATATGGCGGTTTTATTTTAATATTTTTATTAGGAAATTATACAGCGTGTATGGCGTTGCTTTGCTCCGCGAACGGATTCGATTTTCGGCGCAACAGAAAAACTTGTCTATGTCCGTTGAACGAACGATTGAATGAACGAGTGACTGAACGAATGAACCTATACCTTGGGGCTGCGGTTGAGTGAGGTGCACTTGCTCGCCCTGCTGCTGCGTGACTTGCTGTAGGTCCACGCCGATTTCCTTGCAGATGGGTGCGCAGAGAGCGCACAGCAGTTGTTCTAGGCAGCTCTGTTCCGTAGGGGGGGACTGGGGCCCCCCCACGTAGCCCCCGGGGCCCCCGCCGTCGTATGCGCCCCCGTGACGCATGGCCAGCTCTGGACGATATTGCTACGTTAGTTTGTAACCTAGCACCAGTACAGCTGGCCTATTACGACTTTTTAATGGCTAAAGTCTGTTCGCCGAGAGTTGATAAAAAAAAATATCAGAGGTTCTAAACTCATTATAAATTGCGGCCCGCTAATTATTTTTGTCGATTTAATGAAAAAGTTGGTAGATTATTTGGCCTGGCCTTTTTTTTTTGGCCTGGATTCTCGGCTCGGTTACAATTTAATTTTGGACTACCATTTATAAGAATGTTCTAAAAATACCAATTATCTACCAAAATCTACTAAACGATTTCGCACTACTAAATCATCGTTCTCTTTGCCTCAAATCTACCAAAAAAGTAGAAATCTACTAAAAGTGGTCACGCTGTGGCCGCCGCCGCCCGCCGGCCGGGGCGCTTGACGACAGCTGTGTGGCTCGTACCACGCCCGCCATACAGAATGCGATAATCAGTCGCTATTGCAAGACATTTCATAATATTTATCAACTCTCGGCGAACAGACGGTAGGTAGGTATAGCATTTATTTTGTGTAATCTTGTAAGGACAATGGCAAACATTAAGGTACTGTATAGATCGTTTCATCCACGAAGACGCGCCCCACCATTCTTCCGCTAATGTTTGAGTGTTATCGGTACACGCTAAATCATCCATGAGTGCACACGCACACTACAATAATGACGCTCGGATTGCTCGGATCAAACTCCCCGCACCCCGCGTTTCCCTCGACCCAAAAGTGGTGGGGCGCGTCTTCGTGGATAAAACGAACTATATGTAATGTATAGTCTGATTCGCTTTAATTATAAGTGTAGCTAATGTAATGTTTATTTCAGATATTTTGATCAGAACTTTAGATTAATTGGGCAAGTTGTAATGCATGTAATAACAATATCGATGAAATAAATTTCATTTATGCAAAACTACAAATCTAACTACGTAAATAGCAAAATTGCAAATTAAAACGCACAGAAATGATATTTGTAACATAACTATTCTTTCAATACTAATAACATTCATTCAACATGATTTAATTTATTTGACTAAAAAATAAGGCTGTAATAAAACTTCTTAGAGGCCGACTAAAAATATAACAAGACTAAATAAAATAATCAGATTTTAGCTAAATTGATCCATTAAATTGAGTCAATGGCGGTTTGGAGGAAAAAAGCGCTTGGAAGCCCCCATTGTTTTAAACAGAACGCGTTCTTAGCACATTTGACGTAAACAGTAAACAGCACATCAAATTATATTTTAGCCGGAAAATAGCATCCATCACAATAAGATGCCTCAGTCTATAGCATTGGTTCCCAAACTTATTTGAGACGCGCCCCCTTTCGACCATACAAAAAATTCCGCGCCCCCCATCCTCCAGTCAAGATTATTTATTGGTCGTATCGAGCAGTTTGGAATGCATTTTCTCAGCGGTCGCAGGTATTTTATACTTAAGTACACAGATGGCCCGCGCCCCCCTTTAAAGGTCTTTGCGCCACTTTGGGAACAGATGGTCTATAGCTTGACGTGCTAGGAATGCGTTCTGTAGGGGTATAATTACTCAAAATATTGCCTTTTTTAGCTCATAAGTATTGCTTATGGTAATAAGGTGAAAGAGATATCTAACGCTCTATACTTTTTTCATCAGTACAGCATTGGCTCTTTCTTAATTTTTCAGGATTTTGGTAAGTTTATAATTAGGAATTATCTAATTAAATCAACATAATATTATATTAATACTTACATATAATATATCTTCACACGGATAGCGAACGTAAAGACAAAAAAGCAGCTTTAACTCGGCACATAAGCGTTCCACATCGAAAGCTCAAAAATGGGCATTAAATAAAACTATTAGTTGTATTATTCTTACTTAAATAACTTACTTATAAATACTGAAAATTGTATCTTTTTCACAAATTTGCATTACTAAAAAAATGCGTTAAATATGTGTAAGAAAATAAAAAAAGCCATCAAAAATAATTAATTTAAATAATAGAAAACACGAAATAATAATTGGTTCTAGATTTTTGTAAGCTATTCTACTTTACTTGCCGTTTGGATATTCATCTGTCAATTAAGATATTTATTTTTTATTCGGGGCTGATTTTTATATCAGATTAAAGTTAATAAGACAATAATTAAGAACTAACTTGGAAAATATTTCTTTGCTAGATTAAAAATACAACTTTTAACTTATTAAAAATATTTGTGTAAGTTTTGAAATAATATTTATTGTTATTTGCATATTATCGTGTTATGCGTGGATTAAACACAATATTTTGTGAGTGAACAACATCCACACATGTCTTATTGTGAGGTTTTTAAGTTATTTTAAACCATACACATAGGTAAAATAAAAAAAAAACCTATTAAATATTAAGACATCATAGCTGTGAAAATGTTTATAAGCGTTCTGCCTGTACAAAAAATAAAAATGAAAAATAGGAATCGATTGGTAATCAATCAGTATCAAATAAACGAATCCTTACTGCATTATCAGTGTGTAACACCAATTAGATCGCTAGTTCCCAACCAGTAACACTGCAACGTGTAACACTGTCACTCGTTGGGAAAAAAATCCCGTCAAGCCACATGATTACGCGTTTAGGACATCTGTCTACTTATCTTTTCAACGATTTGCACATTAAGTACGTTTAAGATTTTAAACTTTCGCATTCCATTTCAACTAAAAGAGACGGTTCGACGTGTCGTGAGTACATAATGTAACTCATTCATAAATGTCGCGTAAAGACCTGTGTCTTTTCAATTTTAAGTACGTTTAATGTCAAGATAGAGATTTCATGAGAAAGAAACAATATACAAGAAAGTTACAAACCTAAAATATTTCAGAAAATGCTGTTTAGTAGTGTCACCGGTGTGGAAGAATTAAGTACCCGACTTCGTGACTTGATGGATTTTTTTTCGGCTTGTCGTACAGGGGTACTACACGGTAAAATAAATCTCGGAGGCGAAAACAGGATAATTTATATTGTTTTGTCTTCACTTTTATCTCCACCAGATATTGCTAAAATACAATTTCTCAGCGTAAAACACCGTTACTGGCACTTGCTTATAGACATAAAACAAACTTTTCCAAAGTAAAACATTTATAGTGGCAGTTACGGCTAGAAGATACTTTTATTTTCCGACGTAAAAATAGGTGTAAGATGTGGTGTCAAAGTAAGACTGATGTCAAGATGTCAGACAACTACGCCGTATCAACCGCTGATGGGATTTATTGAAAGACGTGTTTTAGCTGCCGAATGCTTTATTGCACTGATTATAAAATGTTAAACTACCAAAGTCCCAAATGTAGGTCAGGCGTAGCTGGCCAAAGTGCATGAATAAAATGCAAGTTAACAATAAATTACTTAGTTATAAAAAATGTGCGAGTTGACTCGTACAATAGGTAAGTGCCACTTACTTATAATAGTAACTTTAATTTTCCCTAGTGAAACAACGCAACTACCAGGTTCCTACAGTTAATTGATTAATTTGCCGTTAGTATAATGTTGAGTGAAATAGATTAGGTTAGAAACCATAATAATACCTATTTTCTTCATAAATTACGTATCAATTCACTCGATCTGCGCGAATTAAAGTGGCAGTTACGGGGCTGGGCGCGCGGGGATAAGCGTGAAGTCCAGCGTAAAATTTCGTAACTCCCACTAATGTAATTTTACTGCGGAAATCGTTCTAATTTTGTAGTTGCGGGATTTGTTTTTTGGCGTTTTAAGGTTCAATTTGAATAAAAAGTGTATGTTTTTTGAACTGAGCCGCAACTGTTGGGTCCTCTGAAGGTTTTGCAAACAAAAACGGCAATTCACAGAACTGGTAGATACTGAATTGTACGTAGGGACCGTCTATATAATATCTCAAATCAATTTTAATATTTTTAAAGGTTCCGTACATATTTTTTGAGCCGTGGTTTGAATTTTTGTCGAATTAATTTGGTTTTACATAATTATTTTTGAAGGTTCCGCATAATTTAAGTAATTTTTAAAATGAGTCATCAAGTTAAATTTTTATCATTGCAAAAATCGGAACTAGAGTATGAAGTTCTCATAAGAGGTTCTACTCCTGCTGCTACTGTTTTTGATTTGCGCAAACAAATTGCAAAATTAGGACCGATATTTCCTTCTGAGGACATTTTAGATAGTCCCTTGGAGCCTGCTGACGATATAAAAGGTGTTGAAGAGACTCAGCAAGGTTAAAAACAATCTAAAATCAAATTTAGATAGGAACACTTTGTTACGTACACAAAACTATCTAAACCATTTGTACCACCGCATAAACCGAATCATTAGCAATAAAGATACGGACGAACAATTTGAATTTTGCGTGTCTGAATTTAAAAAGTATACAGATATTTTAAAAATTAATACAGATACGGTTACCGATTCTTTAATACCAACAAGCAATTCAGAATGTCCGACTACCTCTGCTGCCCCACCTCTAAATATTTCTGTCACTTGTGATCGTGGAGGAGCAGTAGACTTAGGTAGGCTTAAATATGACGGTAAGTCTTGCGTACGAGCGTTCATTCAACGTCTTACTGAATTTTGCGTCGCTAGGAGTATCTCTGATACTAAGGCCATGTCTTATGCCACTGAAATTTTCACCGGAGACGCTTTTTTTTTGGCCTGGATTCTCGGCTCGGTTACAATTTAATTTTGGACTACCATTTATAAGAATGTTCTAAAAATACCGATTATCTACCAAAATCTACTAAACGATTTCGCACTACTAAATCATCGTTCTCTTTGCCTCAAATCTACCAAAAAAGTAGAAATCTACTAAAAGTGGTCACGCTGTGGCCGCCGCCGCCCGCCGGCCGGGGCGCTTGACGACAGCTGTGTGGCTCGTACCACGCCCGCCATACAGAATGCGATAATCAGTCGCTATTGCAAGACATTTCATAATATTTATCAACTCTCGGCGAACAGACGGTAGGTAGGTATAGCATTTATTTTGTGTAATCTTGTAAGGACAATGGCAAACATTAAGGTACTGTATAGATCGTTTCATCCACGAAGACGCGCCCCACCATTCTTCCGCTAATGTTTGAGTGTTATCGGTACACGCTAAATCATCCATGAGTGCACACGCACACTACAATAATGACGCTCGGATTGCTCGGATCAAACTCCCCGCACCCCGCGTTTCCCTCGACCAAAAAGTGGTGGGGCGCGTCTTCGTGGATAAAACGAACTATATGTAATGTATAGTCTGATTCGCTTTAATTATAAGTGTAGCTAATGTAATGTTTATTTCAGATATTTTGATCAGAACTTTAGATTAATTGGGCAAGTTGTAATGCATGTAATAACAATATCGATGAAATAAATTTCATTTATGCAAAACTACAAATCTAACTACGTAAATAGCAAAATTGCAAATTAAAACGCACAGAAATGATATTTGTAACATAACTATTCTTTCAATACTAATAACATTCATTAGTGTGACTGATTGGGAAGCGTCATATACAAAACCCATAACTACTAACATCCGGCGGAGTAGGTAAGTAAACAGACTCCTAACGAGTAACAGTGTGACTTGTTCGGATTTTATTCCCAACGAGTCACAGTGTTACAGTGTGACTGATTGGGAAGCGTCATATACAAAACCTATAATTCCTAACATCCGGTGGGGTAGGTAAGTAAACAGACTCCTAACGAGTAACAGTGTGACTTGATGGGATTTTTTCCCAACGAGTCACAGTGTTACAGTGTGACTGACTGGGAAGCGTCATATACAAAACCTATAACTTCTAACGTTAAGTAAGCAAGTATGACGTACCTTCTCTCATGGCATAATCCAGGATCTCCTTGAGCTCCTGCCAGTCCACCTCGCCGTCAGTGCCGGCCAGGCGGTTGAAGAAGTCTCTAACAGGATCCGCAGGTTCAGGGTTCGGGGTTACTTCTTTCACCTGAATTAATAAAAAAGTAAGTAAAACGTCATTTATTGCCAACAAAAGGTTCACAGACAATGTTGTTCTAGCTATAGTCTGGTCTGCGAGCACGTAGAATTTTGTCCAATGACCCCAAGCTACCCATCCTTATCGTACGCGCTCGCACACTCACTGCGGGCGCCCGTCGCACAGTCGCGATAGCAATATAATTACGCGCGAGCGATAAGGATGGGTAGCTTGGGGTCATTGGACGAAATTCTATCTGCTCGGCGACCGGACTTTAGTTGTGCGTCAGCCTTAACAAAATTTAATTTTATTTTAATTAATATGCTTGCCATCTAATCACAAACTAAAAATGCCAAATCCGTAGGACAAGGACCAGACCATACCATGCTATTTTAGAAATAATTTATTATGAAAAAAAAAATGTTCTTCATGTAAATCGATTATGTTACTGCTTCTGGGTCGCTTTTAATAAATTGGCAACACCTTGCAATGTCACTCTGTCATCTATACTAATATTATAAATGCGAAAGTATCTCTGTCTGTGTCTCTTTCACGCCTAAACCACTGAACCGATTTTGATGAAATTTGGCATAGATAGTTTGAGTCCCGGGAAAGGACATAGGATAGTTTTTATCCCGGTTTTTGAAACTGGGACGCGCGATATAAAGTTTTTCTGTGACAAACAAAATTCCACCCGGGCGAAGCCGCGGGCGGAAAGCTAGTGACAAATAAAGATGTGTAATAAATAAAATAATTACATAATTAGGTATGTCATGGAATTTTGTAACTTACCCTATCATCAACATCACCCATGCCGATATCTTCATCATTTTCTCTGAAAAAAAAGTACATTAACTTAAATAACCGAAAGAAAAAAAGATACATAACTCTCTTCTCTCTCTTTTGTGTTTCTTATTATCTTTTCTTGTTAGTTTTCTTTCTATCTATCGATGACTAACCTAAAAACTCAAGTAAAAAATTAATAAAAACTTACGCCATATTGTTGTCCTTTTCAGAGAACACACGTAGTAAGAATTCTCCTTCTTCGTTGGGCTCGAAGGTGGAAGGCACTATGACGTATGAGCCAGGCTCGAATTTGAACCTAAGAACAATACAAATAAGGCTTATAATTGTATAACTACTCTACTGTATGAGGCAAACAAGTATAATATAGATAATAATTTTTGATTTATGAGGAAAAAATAAACCCTTTTTCTGCTTATGAATGAAAGTTTTAAATTACTAGCAACCGTCGATCGGTAGTCATTGGACCAAGGAGGAGGATTTGCAATTTAGACTTCCAAATATATTTTTTTAGAGTTTTGGAAACATAGTCCATAGGAAGGGTTGTTTTGTCGATTATATACAAATCGATACTATATAAAATCGATTGCTATAACAAACTTACCGAACAGAGACCTCTCTCGGGTTGATAAAAGCTTGCGAACGCCCAATAGAAGCGTTTAGGCATATGACCGTAGTTGGAAGAGCTGTTCTATCGATACTTAATACATCGATATTCTATTCAAATCGATTGCTATAAAGGCGCTTTTACACTGCGCGGAAATTAGCCAAGTCAAGTAAAAAAAACAGTGGGGTGGGGATGAAAAATGATCCGCCATAACACACTTACCGAGCAGACACCTCTCTCAAGTTGATAAAAGCTTGAGACCGTCCAATAGAAGCGTTATACTTGAAGAAATTAACGTCTAATGGTTTGGGCACATGTCCATAGTCAGGCAGACGGTATACGGCGAAGCCAATGGTGAGGCACTCCAGGCCTTGGTGCCTTTGCGAACGACGGTTCTTCTGCATGAGAGCCACGATTATCTGGAAGAAAAGAAAACATTATTTTAATTAGATTTTGGAAATAGACTAGGCCAGCCCGAACTTTTGCCAATAAATAAATTATTCCTTTGTTTGGATGGTTAGATGCGTTTCGTTCGTTCGTTCGTTTCAGCCGAAAGACGTCCACTGCTGGACAAAGGCCTCCCCCAAGGATTTCCACGAAGACCGATCCTGCGCCGCTCGCATCCAGGCACCTCCCGCGACCTTCACCAGATCGTCGGTCCACCTAGTGGGAGGCCTGCCCACGCTGCGACTTCCGGCTCGTGGTCGCCACTCAAGAACTTTCCTGCCCCAGCGGCCATCAGCTGTAGGAGCTATGTGCCCCGCCCACTGCCACTTGATTTAAGCTATTCTGCGGTGCGCGATATTACATTTACATTACATTATTAAAGTAAAGTTTCGCGTGACTTTTATTCGGTCGTAAAATCAAACTTTCAGCACATATTGAGTTTGGTTTGAGAGCGAATCTTCTTAAAATGTCGTCTTCGCTAAAAGACAACTTCTCATAATGTCTTTTTCTCACAATGACAAATTCGCATTTGGTCTACTTCGCATAATGTCAACTACTTATTGATATTATATTTTCATTATTTTTAGAGTTCTAGTTCTTCTAGAGTTGTCATTATGTGAAGTTACCAAATGCGAATTTGTCATTGTGAGAAATAGACATTATGAGAAGTTGTCTTTTATAGATGACCCACGCTGAACTGTCCCACCAAACTCATTGACAGGAGGGCGCCACTATCGTTCAACTGTTTCTAACATGGCAAAAACCGGAACCAGCGATCCGGTATTGACGGTGGCGCCCCACTGTCAATGTCCCAGATAGGACAGTTCAGTATATTGGGTCTATATTTCCAATCTTTGCCATTTGACGTTTCGAAATCTTTCAACTATAAACTCACGGTGAAGCGACTGAACTTTGAAAGCACGTCAATCACTGCATACAACTCACCGTGCATTTGTTCTCATCGTCTCCCTCATCCACGTCACGTAGAGTGATGGTGTACTGTGGATTACGCCAGAAGCTCTCCAGGTAATTTCTGCAGCCGCCCGCCGTGACACCTGCGAGACACGTAAACGAAAAGATAAACATTTTTGTTGGTTAAAACGTTAAGCTTAGAAACTTTTCGTTTATTTACTACTGTACCGACAGCAGGGTTCGAAATTATCAAGATAATTACGCTTCATCATAATTATCAACAGTATAAGATACATTGTCATATCGTTTCATAAGAAATTCTGATTGCGAATGTTGCTTTATGTTTTTGGTTGCTGATTGTTGTAAAGTTATTCTTCGCTAGTCGCATAAAGCTTAGAAAATAGATAAATATTTTGACGCTAGATAACTAGTGATCATTGTGGAGCTAAATAGGTTTTATAACTATCTATGTTGATTAACGCCTACCACTAGACGCAAGTGCGGAAATACGTTCGAAAACTTCGAATACAGTTCATTTTCACGAGCGCATTTTTTTGTTATTATCAACCGATAATTATCGTGATAATTATCCTTCCAAACCCTGCCCGACAGACGTTGTCCTGTTTTAAGAAAAGTTTTTCTGTGCAACTTTCTTAAATTGTTCACAAATACAAACAGCGCTTCGTTTGCGCTAAATATTTTCAACTGCAACAATACAATCAATATACAATCTTAATAATATTAGTAGTAATAGTAATTACTAACCTCGAACCCACTCCCCTTCAAACACAGACATCTCCCACTTCTTAGTGCAGCCTTCAGGACATTCTTCGGGGTCCAAGGAATCCGGGTTCAAGTTACAGATCTCCACTCTGGAAAGAATAATGTTAAAGATGTAAAAATGTGTTACAAAATTAATCCAGATCAATGAGAAGATGTAATTCCATTGAGTTTTTTTAAAAGGTAACAGAAATTGAGTTATTCTCAAAGGGTTCTTTTTTTAGTATGGAACCCAAAAAGAACATAATTGGAACTGATACCTGCATTATCATGACATTTTATTCTGCAAATAAAATTATTTTATTTGATTTGAAAGAAGGTCAGAGAATTGGCTAGCACAAGACTATTTAGCATGTACACATTTGATTACACTCACGAAATGAAAGTTGAGGGGAACATGACGTATTTTCACCGATGTTATATTTGAATACAGGACACACGTATCACATTTCATTAATGTTCAAATATCAAGTACACTAGGCTACCCCGCTCTCGTTAAACGTTTGCAAGTGATAAAAAAAAACTCATTTATTTTTGCAAATAGGCTTTTAAAAAGCACTTTTACACGTCCCAGTATTAACCCTACCACTGCTTCAGGACAATAAATGGGCCAGTGCTGAGAAGAAGCAGCGCAAGAAACTCAGTCACTTTTGTCAGCCGCCTTTTCAAGGGATTACAGTCTTTAAGTATGTCGTATCAGAAATGAGGAGATCCGTAGGAGAACCAGAGTGACTGACATAGCCCGCAGAATCGCTAAAATCAAGTGGCAGTGGGCGGGGCACATAGCTCGGAAGAGCTGATGGCCGCTGGAGCAGGAAAGTTCTCGAGTGGCGACCACGAGCTGGAAGACGTAGCGTGGGCAGGCCTCCCACTAGGTGGACCGACGATCTGGTGAAGGTCGCGGGAGGTACCTGGATGCAAGCGGCGCAGGACCGGTCTTTGTGGAAATCCTTGGGGGAGGCCTTTGTCCAGCAGTGGACGTCTTTCGGCTGAAACGACAGTCTTTAAAACTCGTGAGACACTGTCAGTGCAAACAGCATATCCAGATACAAATCTTTTTTGTGTTGATGGCCTCAACTCACGTTGCGCGACCTATAATGACTAAAATAAACAAGTTAAAAAGAAGGGTATTTCTCACCTGTCAAAGTGTTGGGCGAAGTCTTTGAACGACATCCAGAACTCGCCGTCATCGTCGAAGTTTAGACCCAACTCCTCCTTTTCAGACTCGGGGATGAATCTCCACTCGGGAGACCTGAAATTAAAGTTAACGTTAATGGAATTATGGAACACTGTGGAATCTATGTGGTTGTAATGGGGGTAATTTTAATTTTATAATTACCCTAACATTGCAAAAAGAAATGCTGTGTATACCTGTAATTGAGGTCATATACGTATCATGTGTTAAACCATGTTAAAATGTATGAACTGTATTATGTATGTGACTTTGTTGGTGTACCTAATAAATAAATAAATAAATTTTGCAATGAAAATATGCAGTCTGTTATCTGTGAATTGCAAAATTTGTAAATAAGAATTTTTTTTTGACATTTACTACGCCAGCTGGGTCAAAACTAAGAAAAGTTTGTACAATGGGTACCAGACGACGGATACAAACATACTTTTAAATACTTTTTTGGAAACACATCATAAGCTACATAGAGGCCTATGCTAGGCGTTTCTTTACGAGATCGAATCAGAAATAAGGGGATCCGTAAACGAATTAAAGTCGCAGACATAGCCCGACGGATTAGCACGCTGCAGTGGCAATGGGCAGGGCATATGCATGCAGATCTGACGGCCGATGGGATAGCAAAGTTCTGGAATGGGGACTGTGTAATGGCAAACGTAGTGTGGAACGTCCATCCACAAAACGGATACAGGGTTTCATAAAGGCAGCAGGAAGGCGTTGTCAACCGGCTATTTTGGATTTCTTGGGGCGGCCTATGTTTAGTAATGGACGTCTTGGGCCCCGATTACGCTAAAATTTTCATCTTCAACGTGCCCGGACGACGAACAAACATCAGCTGTTTTGACAAATTCGTATCGCGGTGTCGTTTTGACAGCTAGTTGGTTGAAACGAAGCATAGACGTAAACGTAAAGCTAAATATATCATGTGACAATGAAAATACTAGGAAGGTACGTCCATTACCGTGATACCGAATTTGCACCTCAGCTGGAATGAAAAACGGAGCGCAACTGGAGAAGAAGCGCGTATGTATTGGAGACGTTAAAAATTAGCGTAATCGGGACACAGGGGCTGAAATGATAATGGTGAAGGATCTCACTTGTCGCTCCAGGGCCCGTTCCACTCGGCCTCGTTGCTTCATGTCGCGTCTTGTAGCGTTATAAAGCATCCCGTAGCGTCATGTAGCGTCCCGTAGCGTCATGTCGCGTCCTGTAGCGTCGCGTTATGTCGCGTCCTGTAGCGTCCCGTCTCGTAGCGTTATGTCGCATCCCGTAGCGTCATGTCGCGTCCCGTAGCGTCATGTAGCGTCCCGTAGCGTCATGTCGCGTCCTGTAGCGTCGCGTTATGTCGCGTCCTGTAGCGTCCCGTCTCGTAGCGTTATGCCAACTGGTGAGCGCTAAAGTGGTAGGAGGACTATCGCATTTGCACTCATCAAGATGGCGCCACTGTAGAGTAAGGTCCTGTCACTTGCTAGTCGCGAAGACAGTGGCACCAACTGGTGAGCGCTAAAGTGGTAGGAGGACTATCGCATTTGCACTCATCAAGATGGCGCCACTGTAGAGTAAGGTCCTGTCACTTGCTAGTAGCGAAGACAGTGGCACCAACTGGTGAGCGCTAAGTGATAGGAGGACTATCGCATTTGCACTCATCAAGATGGCGCCACTGTAGAGTAAGGTCCTGTCAATCGCCAGGGGTGCCAACTGTTAAGTATAAAAACGATAGCCCTCATTACACATTGATGTTTTTAGACGCAGTTTAGGGTGGTGCATACTGCATTCACTCCCGCCTTGAAAATACCTAGATTAGTAGTTTTCAACCTTTTTCATGACATGACCCCCTTGGATGAAAAAAATATTTTGCAACCCCCCGACCGTTCGTTTTTTATTCATGCATTTTATAATGTTACAAGATGTTTTAGGGACCGAATATGACGTGGTTTTTACGACCTCTCACGACCCCCTTAAAGAGGCTTCGCGACCCCACAGGTCAACTCTGACCTATATCACAGTGTTTGGGAAAGACATCAGCAGGCAGAGACAATTTTATATCTGAAAGTTGGTAGGAATCAAAAACTAAGGGGTCATTTATGAGTTGGAGCAACGAAGTACGCTACTTTTTGTTTGTTTTTTAGCGGATGCCTACGTTATGTTATATTATCGATAAACAGTAAGGGTTGCCTTTTATACTTATGGATTTGTCAATGTTGATATACGCATCCTTTTGGTAGTTACCCGTTCCACTCGGCCTCGTCGCTTCATGTCGCGTCCCGTAGCGTCGCGTCGCGTCCTGTAGCGTCCCTTGTTCACTCACTTGTCGCTCCAGGGCCCGTTCCACTCGGCCTCGTCGCTTCATGTCGCGTCCCGTAGCGTCGCGTCGCGTCCTGTAGCGTCCCTTGTGCACTCACTTGTCGCTCCAGGGCCCGTTCCACTCGGCCTCGTCGCTTCATGTCGCGTCCCGTAGCGTCGCGTCGCGTCCTGTAGCGTCCCTTGTGCACTCACTTGTCGCTCCAGGGCCCGTTCCACTCGGCCTCGTTGCCCCACGGGTTGCGCAGGCGGAGCAGCGGGATCTTGCCGGCGCGGCCGGGCGTCTCGATGTCCACGTACTTGACGCGCGTGACGGAGTACGCGTGGCCTCGGACCAGGCCCACGGGGGTCTAACCTAGGTGTCTTAGGTAGACGACGAACAAGGCAACGCGCGCGAATGTATGAGTAGTGCTACGTAGTCGCGTAGGACAGACGTCGCGTCGCGTCGCATCTTGCAGCGTTACAAAGCATCCCGTAGCGTCATGTCGCGTCCCGTAGCGTTATGTCGCGTCCCGTAGCGTCATGTCACATCCCGTAGCGTCATGTCACGTCCTGTAGCGTTGTCGCATCCCGTAGCGTTATGTCGCGTCCCGTAGCGTCGGGTCCTGTAACGTCGCGTCTTGTAGCGTTATAACGCATCCCGTAGCGTCATGTCGCGTCCCGTAGCGTCATGTCGCGTCCTGTAGCGTCGCGTCATGTCGCGTCCTGTAGCGTCGCGTCATGTCGCGTCCCGTCTCGTAGCGTTATGTCGCATCCCGTAGCGTCATGTCGCGTCCCGTAGCGTCATGTCGCGTCCTGTAGCGTCGCGTCATGTCGCGTCCTGTAGCGTCGCGTCATGTCGCGTCCCGTCTCGTAGCGTCATGTCGCGTCCCGTAGCGTCATGTCGCGTCCCGTAGCGTCGCGTCGCGTCCTGTAGCGTCCCTTGTGCACTCACTTGTCGCTCCAGGGCCCGTTCCACTCGGCCTCGTCGCTTCATGTCGCGTCCCGTAGCGTCGCGTCGCGTCCTGTAGCGTCCCTTGTGCACTCACTTGTCGCTCCAGGGCCCGTTCCACTCGGCCTCGTCGCTTCATGTCGCGTCCCGTAGCGTCGCGTCGCGTCCTGTAGCGTCCCTTGTGCACTCACTTGTCGCTCCAGGGCCCGTTCCACTCGGCCTCGTCGCTTCATGTCGCGTCCCGTAGCGTCGCGTCGCGTCCTGTAGCGTCCCTTGTGCACTCACTTGTCGCTCCAGGGCCCGTTCCACTCGGCCTCGTCGCTTCATGTCGCGTCCCGTAGCGTCGCGTCGCGTCCTGTAGCGTCCCTTGTGCACTCACTTGTCGCTCCAGGGCCCGTTCCACTCGGCCTCGTCGCTTCATGTCGCGTCCCGTAGCGTCGCGTCGCGTCCTGTAGCGTCCCTTGTGCACTCACTTGTCGCTCCAGGGCCCGTTCCACTCGGCCTCGTCGCTTCATGTCGCGTCCCGTAGCGTCGCGTCGCGTCCTGTAGCGTCCCTTGTGCACTCACTTGTCGCTCCAGGGCCCGTTCCACTCGGCCTCGTTGCCCCACGGGTTGCGCAGGCGGAGCAGCGGGATCTTGCCGGCGCGGCCGGGCGTCTCGATGTCCACGTACTTGACGCGCGTGACGGAGTACGCGTGGCCTCGGACCAGGCCCACGGGGGTCTAACCTAGGTGTCTTAGGTAGACGACGAACAAGGCAACGCGCGCGAATGTATGAGTAGTGCTACGTAGTCGCGTAGGACAGACGTCGCGTCGCGTCGCATCTTGCAGCGTTATAAAGCATCCCGTAGCGTCATGTCGCGTTCCGTAGCGTCATGTCGCGTCCCGTAGCGTCATGTCGAGTCCCGTAGCGTTATGTCGCGTCCCGTAGCGTCATGTCACATCCCGTAGCGTCATGTCACGTCCTGTAGCGTTGTCGCATCCCGTAGCGTTATGTCGCGTCCCGTAGCGTCGGGTCCTGTAACGTCGCGTCTTGTAGCGTTATGTCGCATCCCGNTTACTAACATCCGGTGGGGTAGGTAAGTAAACAGACTCCTGACGAGTAAGTGACTTGATGGGATTTTTTCCCAACGAGTCAGTGTTACAGGTTATAGTGTAACTGATTGGGAAGCGTCGTATGCAAAACCTATAAGTACTAACATCCGGTGGGGTAGCCGTAGGTAAGTGAACAGACTCTTAACGAGTAACAGTGACTTGATGGGATTTTTTCCCAACGAGTCACAGTGTTACAGTTTACAGTGTGACTGAGTGGGAAGCGTCATATACAAAACTTATAACTGCTAACGTTAAGTGATCAAGTATGACGTACCTTCTCTCATGGCATAATCCAGGATCTCCTTGAGCTCCTGCCAGTCCACTTCGCCGTCAGTGCCGGCCAGGCGGTTGAAGAAGTCTCTAACAGGATCCGCAGGTTCAGGGTTCGGGGTTACTTCTTTCACCTGAAGTAATAAAAAAGTAAGTAAAACGTCATTTATTGCCAACAAAAGGTTCACAGACAATGTTGTTCTAGCTATAGTCTGGTCTGCGAGCACGTAGAATTTTGTCCAATGACCCCAAGCTACCCATCCTTATCGCTCGCGCGTAATTATGTTGCTATCGCGCTTGCACACTCACTGCGGGCGCCCGTCGCACAGTCGCGACAGCAATATAATTACGCGCGAGCGATAAGGATGGGTAGCTTGGGGTCATTGGACGAAATTCTATCTGCTCGGCGACCGGACTTTAGTTGTGCGTCAGCCTTAACAAAAGTTTATTTTATTTTAATTAATATGCTTGCCACCATCTAATCCCAAACTAAAAATGCCAAATCCATACGACAAAGACCAGACCATACCATGCTATTTTAGAAATAATTTATTATGAAAAAAAAAATGTTCTTCATGTAAATCGATTATGTTACTGCTTCTGGGTCGCTTTTAATAAATTGGCAACACCTTGCAATGTCACTCTGTCATCTATACTAATATTATAAATGCGAAAGTATCTCTGTCTGTCTCTCTTTCACGCCTAAACCACTGAACCGATTTTGATAAAATTTGGCATAGAGATAGTTTGAGTCCCGGGAAAGGACATAGGATAGTTTTTATCCCGGTTTTTGAGACAGGAACGCGCGATATAAAGTTTTTCTGTGACAAACAAAATTCCACGCGGGCGAAGCCGCGGGCGGAAAGCTAGTGACAAATAAAGATATGTAATAAATAAAATAATTACATAATTAGGTATGTCATGGAATTTTGTAACTTACCCTATCATCAACATCACCCATGCCGATATCTTCATCATTTTCTCTGAAAAAAAAAAGTACATTAACTTAAATAATAATAAATAATAAATAAATATCCTTGGACATTTTACACTGCGCCTCTAGTTCCAAACTAAGCAAAGCTTGTACTATGGGTACTAGACGACTTAACCGACGAAACTATAACTTAGACGAAATAACCGAAAGAAAAAAAGATACATAACTCTCTTCTCTCTCTTTTGTGTTTCTTATTATCTTTTCTTGTTAGTTTTCTTTCTATCTATCGATGACTAACCTAAAAACTCAAGTAAAAAATTTAATAAAAACTTACGCCATATTGTTGTCCTTTTCAGAGAACACACGTAGTAAGAATTCTCCTTCTTCGTTGGGCTCGAAGGTGGAAGGCACTATGACGTATGAGCCCGGCTCGAATTTGAACCTAAGAACAATACAAATAAGGCTTATATTTTTGTAATTACTGTACTGTAAGAGGCAAAGAAGTATAGATTTAAGAGGAAAAATAAATAACCTTTTTTTCTGCTTATGAATGAGTTTTAAATTACTAGCAACCTTCGATCGGTAGTCATTGGACCGAGATAAATAAATAATAATAATAATAATAAATATCCTTACACTGCGCCGCTAGCCCCAAACTAAGCGAAGCTTGTGCTATGGGTACTAGACAACGGATATAAACATACTTAAATAGTTTTTTTTTGTAAATACATACATATTATACATAGAAAACACCCAGACCCGTCACAGAAATTAAAATTCAACATTTCAATTCCTGCCCAGCCGGGAATCGAACCCGGGACCTTCTCAGCATAGTAGTCCGTTTTGAACCACTACACCAATCGGCCGAAGATTCCAATATAGACTACCAAATAGGACGGACTAACTCATAAAGGTAGCAAGAAGGCGCTGGATGCAGGCCGCTACCAACCAGCCATTGTGGAAATCAATGGGGGAGGCCTATGTTCAGCAGTGGACGTCCTGTGGCTGAGATGATGATGATGAGTCCATAGGAAGGGTTGTTTTGTCGATTATGTACAAAGCGATTCTCTATATAATCACAGAATAATAATAAGTACTACGTAAAGAAGTTTTACTTCGCGAAGGTATTTAAAAAAATGTATGCTCAATGTCAATAACAATATNATGTCGCATCCCGTAGCGTCATGTCGCGTCCCGTAGCGTCATGTCACATCCCGTAGCGTCATGTCACGTCCTGTAGCGTCATGTCGAGTTCCGTAGCGTCGGGTCCTGTAACGTCGCGTCTTGTAGCGTTATGTCGCATCCCGTAGCGTCATGTCGCGTCCCGTAGCGTCCCGTAGCTTCATGTCGCGTCCCGTAGCGTCGCGTCGCGTCCTGTAGCGTCCCTTGTTCACTCACTTGTCGCTCCAGGGCCCGTTCCACTCGGCCTCGTCGCTTCATGTCGCGTCCCGTAGCGTCGCGTCGCGTCCTGTAGCGTCCCTTGTGCACTCACTTGTCGCTCCAGGGCCCGTTCCACTCGGCCTCGTCGCTTCATGTCGCGTCCCGTAGCGTCGCGTCGCGTCCTGTAGCGTCCCTTGTGCACTCACTTGTCGCTCCAGGGCCCGTTCCACTCGGCCTCGTCGCTTCATGTCGCGTCCCGTAGCGTCGCGTCGCGTCCTGTAGCGTCCCTTGTGCACTCACTTGTCGCTCCAGGGCCCGTTCCACTCGGCCTCGTCGCTTCATGTCGCGTCCCGTAGCGTCGCGTCGCGTCCTGTAGCGTCCCTTGTGCACTCACTTGTCGCTCCAGGGCCCGTTCCACTCGGCCTCGTCGCTTCATGTCGCGTCCCGTAGCGTCGCGTCGCGTCCTGTAGCGTCCCTTGTGCACTCACTTGTCGCTCCAGGGCCCGTTCCACTCGGCCTCGTCGCTTCATGTCGCGTCCCGTAGCGTCGCGTCGCGTCCTGTAGCGTCCCTTGTGCACTCACTTGTCGCTCCAGGGCCCGTTCCACTCGGCCTCGTTGCCCCACGGGTTGCGCAGGCGGAGCAGCGGGATCTTGCCGGCGCGGCCGGGCGTCTCGATGTCCACGTACTTGACGCGCGTGATGGAGTAAGCGTGGCCTCGGATCAGGCCCACCGGGGTCTCCGCTTCGAGCACGTTGGGGTCAGGCTGTTGACAAACATACAAAATATTCTTAAGGATCACAGGTGAGAGTGCTTTTTTAAAAGTAATGAGCGGCACCAGCAAATATCGATTGATTAAATAACCGGAAACAATAATGCCACAAATCAAATTAACGTAATAAAGATATATAATGATCTAGGTCACAAATATCAGTCCCTGAACCGAGAGAACGTCCGTCACAGCCAAGCGCTCGAGCTAAAGTGTGGCGGTGCGCCGGCGGTCGGTTTCTCGTGCCTTCTCACTCTAACAAGGCGAACACAGGATCGAACGATATGACGTCACGCTCACGGCGGATGTTATTTCTAAGAATATATTATAGCACATTTAATAATCCAAGCAAGGAAGCTCAAAGTTGCACAGCGTGCTATGGAGAGGGCTATGCTCGGTGTTTCTTTACGAGATCGAATCAGAAATGAGGAGATCCGTAAACGAACCAAAGTCGCTGACATAGCCCGACGGATTAGCAAGCTGAAGTGGCAATGGGCAGGCACATAGTACGCAGAACTGACGGCCGATGGGGCAGCAAGGTTCTGGATTTGAGTACGCGTACCGGAAAACGCGGCACCCACAAGGTGGACCGACGACATAATAAAGGTAACAGGAAGGCGCTGGACGCAGGCCGCTACCAACCGGGCAACATGGAAATCATTGGGGGAGGCCTATGTTCAGCAGTGGACGTCCTGTGGCTGAAATGATGATGTGACTTATGAGTAAATGTCTCGACTGACCTCGATACTGCACCCCATGAGCGAGTTCCTCTCATACGCCTTGAGCAGTATGGTGTAGAAGTTAGGCGGTAACTCCAGCTTGTCATACATTTCGGTGACGCCGCCGGTGAAGTCCTTATTATTATTATATTAACCCTACCACTGCTGCGGGACAATAACGTGGGCTAAAGTCCGGTCCCCGAGCAATATAACTACGCGCCAGCGATAAGGATGGGTAACTTGGGGTCATTGGACGAAATTCTATCTACTCGGCGACCGGACTTTAGTAACTATGAGTAAGGCCGGGTTTCCACTAAAGCGAAGAGAAGACGAGCGGAGAGGAGACAAGGTGTGAGGTGTTTGTAGCTGTCATACATCAATATGCTAACTAAAGCCCGGCCTGTGAGCATGTAGAATTTTGTCCAATGACCCCAAGCTACCCATCCTTATCGTTCGCGCGTAATTATGTTGCTGTCGCGCTCACACACTCACTGCGGCCGCCCGTCGCACAGTCGCGACAGCAATATAATTACGCGCGAACGATAAGGATGGGTAGCTTGGGGTCATTGGACAAAATTCTACGTGTTCACGGACCAGGCTTTAACACATTTAATAATCCAAGCAAGGAAGCAAGTTGCACAGCGTGCTATGGAGAGGGCTATGCTCGGTGTTTCTTTACGAGATCGAATCAGAAATGAGAAGATCCGTAAACGAACTAAAGTCGCCGACATAGCCCGACGGATTAGCAAGCTGAAGTGGCAGTGGGCAGGGCACATAGTACGCAGAACTGACGGCCAATGGGGCAGCAAGGTTCTGGAATGGAGGCCGCATACCGGAAAACGCAGCGTGGGATGTTCACCCACAAGGTGGACCGACGACATCATAAAGGTAGCAGGAAGGCGCTGGACGCAGGCCGCTACCAACCGGGCAACATGGAAATCATTGGGGGAGGCCTATGTTCAGCAGTGGACGTCCTGTGGCTGAAATGATGATGTGACTTATGAGTAAATGTCTTGACTGACCTCGATACTGCACCTCTCACTGCTCGATAATTCTACGTGCTCACAGACCAGACTATAGTAACAGTGTTACAGTGACATAATGGGAATTTTTGGGTGTGACTCGTTGGGAATAAGCGGTGACTTATGAGTAAATGTCTCGACTGACCTCGATACTGCACCCCATGAGCGAGTTCCTCTCATACGCCTTGAGCAGTATGGTGTAGAAGTTGGGCGGTAACTCCTGCATATCGTACATTTCAGTGACGCCGCCGGTGAAGTCCTTATTATTATTATATTAACCCTACCACTGCTGCGGGACAATAACGTGGGCTAAAGTCCGGTCCCCGAGCAATATAATTACGCGCCAGCGATAAGGATGNCCGCTTCGAGCACGTTGGGGTCAGGCTGTTGACAAACATACAAAATATTCTTAAGGATCACAGGTGAGAGTGCTTTTTTAAAAGTAATGAGCGGCACCAGCAAATATCGATTGATTAAATAACCGGAAACAATAATGCCACAAATCAAATTAACGTAATAAAGATATATAATGATCTAGGTCACAAATATCAGTCCCTGAACCGAGAGAACGTCCGTCACAGCCAAGCGCTCGAGCTAAAGTGTGGCGGTGCGCCGGCGGTCGGTTTCTCGTGCCTTCTCACTCTAACAAGGCGAACACAGGATCGAACGATATGACGTCACGCTCACGGCGGATGTTATTTCTAAGAATATATTATAGCACATTTAATAATCCAAGCAAGGAAGCTCAAAGTTGCACAGCGTGCTATGGAGAGGGCTATGCTCGGTGTTTCTTTACGAGATCGAATCAGAAATGAGGAGATCCGTAAACGAACCAAAGTCGCTGACATAGCCCGACGGATTAGCAAGCTGAAGTGGCAATGGGCAGGCACATAGTACGCAGAACTGACGGCCGATGGGGCAGCAAGGTTCTGGATTTGAGTACGCGTACCGGAAAACGCGGCACCCACAAGGTGGACCGACGACATAATAAAGGTAACAGGAAGGCGCTGGACGCAGGCCGCTACCAACCGGGCAACATGGAAATCATTGGGGGAGGCCTATGTTCAGCAGTGGACGTCCTGTGGCTGAAATGATGATGTGACTTATGAGTAAATGTCTCGACTGACCTCGATACTGCACCCCATGAGCGAGTTCCTCTCATACGCCTTGAGCAGTATGGTGTAGAAGTTGGGCGGTAACTCCTGCATATCGTACATTTCGGTGACGCCGCCGGTGAAGTCTTTATGATATTACACTGTGGCGACATCTATCAACACGCCACTATAGTCATCACTCAACAGATGGCGCTGACCTACCTTACTATGGCACATGGCGCCTACAATCCTGCATCGCGGTATGAAAGTTCTCCGCTCTAAGTATAATATGTAGAAAACCGAGATGATTGATAACTGGACCTTGCGCAGCACCCGTTCAGATATTTCGCAAGCAGCTGCTATCCTTATTATTAAGCAAAGCCCCCGTTCAGATATTTCGCAAGCAGCTGCTATCCTTATTATTAAGCAAAGCCTACTATACATTGACAGAGTTTTTAACTGACAAATTGTAAGATTCTTGACCTTTTTTATGTTTAAATGTTTATGAAATTGTTACTGATTGGACATTACTAACTTACTTTTTATTTTATTTAATTTCTACTAACCTAATACGACTCAATGATGTTATGTAAATTTGTACGCCGACCTTGGGCCAAACATAGTGATACCGACTTAATTTTTAACACCTGTAATATGTTATTTACCTATGTTCCACAAATAAACGTATTTGATTTGATTTGATTTGATTTGAAGGAAGCAATTCAACCTTGGCTAATTTATTGTGGTATCCTCAAATCCCACAATAAACGCCTTTATATGAATTAATGAAATAGTTTATTCAGTACATAGGTCCTTTCCAGGGCACTTATACACGTCCCAAATATAGCTTGCCCTACCACCACTTCGGGACAACATGGGCTGGTGCTGAGAAGAAGTGGCGGAAGAAACTCAGTCACCTTTGTCAGCCTCTTTTTCAATTCAATACAGTAATTTATAGCTTACATGACACGTAATAAGTGCGAGCTAGGCAGGTAAAGTCCACGCATATAGAAACACCTCGCAAATGTCTGTCTTGTTGTCTAAAGTCCTGTCCCCGAGCAATATAACTACGCGCGAGCGATAAGGATGGGTAGCTTGGGGTCATTGGACGAAATTCTATCTACTCGGCGACCGGACTTTAGTAACTATGAGTAAGGCCGGGTTTCCACTAAAGCGAAGAGAAGACGAGCGGAGAGGAGACAAGATGTGAGGTGTTTGTAGCTGTCATACATCAATATGCTAACTAAAGCCCGGCCTGTGAGCACGTAGAATTTTGTCTAATGACCCCAAGCTACCCATCCTTATCGCTCGCGCGTAATTATATTGCTGTCGCGACTGTGCGACGGGCGCCCGCAGTGAGTGTGCGAGCGCGACAGCAACATAATTACGCGCGAGCGATAAGGATGGATAGCTTGGGGTCATTAGACAAAATTCTACGTGCTCACAGACCAGACTATAGTAACAGTGTTACAGTGACTTAATGGGAATTTTTGGGTGTAACTCGTTGGGAATAAGCGGTGACTTATGAGTAAATGTCTCGACTGACCTCGATACTGCATCCCATGAGCGAGTTCCTCTCATAGGCCTTGAGCAGTATGGTGTAGAAGTTGGGCGGTAACTCCTGCATATCGTACATTTCAGTGACGCCGCCGGTGAAGTCTTCCATCGCTTCACATGTGGACCCTCCTTTGAGGGCCTCGTAGGACCCGTGGAGCCTGGGGAAGGAGAAATTAAGGGTAATTTTTGGTATGGTAACACCTTTAACCGTCAGAAATGGAAGCACATCGCCAAGAGAGCTACCCTCAGAGATGACGTCTAACACCCCACCGTGTACCTCGTCAGCGCAACCAAGACTAAGAAGAAGAACACCTTTAAGGGTTGCCAAATGTGGAGTAAAAAAGAAACGACATATGGTAACACAAAAAAAATACTAAAGGTAACATCAATCAATTGATGTAGGTACCTTTTATTTATGAGCTCTCTTCCATATAATTTAAATGGTAATGAGGATTAAGTATGATGTCCCTGTCCCGTTAATGTGTCAGCAACACAATTAATTTCGAATGTGTTTTTTTAGAAGTCAGCACTCACTCCTTAATGATATTAACTATTCACTAGAGAACTAATGTCTACCATGACCTTTCTATTACAAAATCGTTAAC